TCTATTCCAAGCCCTGGATTCCTCAGCTCCGGGAATCCAGTTCCTACCCCACCCACTTTAGGTCCTATGCACAGCACGCAAGGGCTCTTCTGGCCACCTCGGTGCCTCTGTCATGCCTGTTGCCATGCATGGCCCTCTGGGAATTTCCCCTCTGCCTCGGTGTCCCTGGTCCCCACCACTTCGATTCTCTTCATCTCATCAACATGGGAGCTCTGAGGTCAGGCTTAGTGCCACAGGCCTGTCATCCCATCTACTCAGGATGCTGAGGCAGAATCCACAGCTCAGGGTCTGCCTGGGATACTGAGTGAGACCTTGTCTTAGTGATCCAGGCGGCCGGAGCATGTGCACAGCATGCTGGAGCAGAGCCTATCGGAGGACTAGCAGTGAGGACAGGGCAGCAGTGAAGGGATTCAGTCTGGGTTTGAGGACACCGACTTTAAACAGCATTGTGTGTAAGCTATCATCAAATATGCACTCTAGAAAGTCCTCACAGGTCTTAAAGAACCGATGAGAGGAGACAGTCGCAGACGACCTTAGAAGATGATGAATTAGGCAGAGACATGGTCTGGCTTGGTTTTCTAATTTTTCTTTTCCTACAGTACTGGGGGCTCAAACCTGTGGTCTCCCCGCCAGTAGGTGGGCAATCCTCTGCTAAGCCAAACCTCCCATATCTGATTCTTTACTGCTGCATTTAAAAATCTTCCTAAGGAACATCTATTGCTTTGCCAGAAAGCAATGTTTTGAAAGGGCAGACCAGGGCACTACATGAGTGACAGGAACAGCTGGCAAAAGGGCAGCAGGGTGGGACAGAGGCCCATGCTTGGGTGGGGAGGGGCAGGAAGGGACCAGTGGCGTCCAGCAGCTGTGGGGTTTGGGAGCTGGGCGGTGGCTCTGAGGGGACAACTGGGGAAGACACGGGTTGGAGAGATGTGTCACTAGACAGTGGAGGAGCTGGAGACACAGACGGAGAAGGGGTGGAGGGGAGGCGCCCACCGCAGTGGCCCAGGCAGGCAAAGTAAAGCAGGGACAGAAAGGAGCCAGGGATAGGACAGTGACCTGGCTGTGACATCTGTCACCTCATTGGCCATCGGGGCTGATTTAGCTGATCTGTCTGGCTAGGTGGGTGTCCCTCCTTCCTCACAGCTCCATATTTCTCCCTCCCAAGCCTGCACCGTTGGTCCAAGAGGACAACCTTCTCCAGCAGCTTTTCCTCCATAGAAGAGCATCCTTGGGCCAAGGGCATTGAAGCAGATGTACTCTCCAGCTCAAACCTTCCAACAAGCTTTCAAGGTTCACAAAGGAACCAGGGAGGGCTGACGGGAGAGCTGGGGTGGCAAATACCAACCCAGGTAGAGTCTACAGTGGCACAGATAAGGGGGATGTCTAGACAGCCACATAACCTGGGGTAGTGAGAGAGAGAAAGCCTTCGTGGCCCTTGGCGGCCTTGCCCCACCCTATGGAGAGGTCTAGGGAAGCCTGTCTTCCTAGGAGATAAGGACTTGTGTACCAGGGTTATCTGGGGCTATGGTGGGTGGGCTTTAAGGTAGCTAGGTCAGTCTTGGTTCTAACGCTATTTGCTGTGCAGGTCTTTATGCTGCTATAGGCTGAACCTCACAGCCAGCCTTGGCCATCTCTAACCTTCTACTTCTGAGCCTAGGGTCTCCATCTGCACAGAATGAGGCCCTCCTGCGGCCTCACCCTGGCCTGGCACCCAAGAAGCATGCAGGAGAGATTCTAAACTGAGCACGTGCCCCGAAGGGCTCTCTAGAGCTACATCCAGGGCCTCCTCCTCTTTCCGACCAGGCGGACCACACAAGCAGGCTCCAGGGTCACAAGCACCAAGGGCAAAGTCTGTCAACTCCAAACCTACAAAGGGAACCCCAAGGGGTTGTTGCACCTGCAGGATTCCTACCACACCTCATCCGCCCTTCCAAAGGTCAGCTGAGCCCACCAACCTGTGACTCAAACGCGGGTGCAAAAGCAGCTTCCTTCTGAGCTGAGGGCGGAATGAAAGGTGCTGAGCAAGAGAGAGCCATGTACACGGGCAAAGATGGGCAGGAGGGTAAGATGGCTGCCACACGGGCTGGCTTTAGAAGTGACCCAGCCACTGAGGAAGGGAGTGAAATCTGCACAGGGCAGGCACTGCACAGGCAGGGAGCGAGGCTCCTCTGTCCTTGGGCAGGAAACAGGCTGTGAACTCAGAGACTCACGTCTATACCAGATCCAAAGCACCAGGGCTGCAAGGAGGAACAAGATGGAGGGCATCGACAGGGAGGGACCCACAGTAACTGAAACCATCACTGGAACAGGAGCACACAGCAGAGGCTTGGTGTATGACCCCCCCAGGGGCCTGGGTGTCCCGGATCCCACCCTCACCTGCTGCTGGGCCTGGATCCTCATGTACTCCGCCCTTTGCTTGCTGTGCTTGCCTTTGTCGGGGCTGCCTGCTGGGCCCTGGGTTGCCTTCAGCCGAGAGGCTCCTGGAGTCACAACCTTCATGGGTGGCACGGTGCCACCACCACTCTGTGGAAAGAGAGAGAGGGCTGAGGTGGGACCGTTCTGCATGGAACCCTAAGCACTGGGTGAAGGTTCTGGGGTTAGGACCTCCTCAGGGAGGCCCTTGGATGCCTGGAGACCCCTCGCTGACTCCCCATAAGCACCCAAGACTTAAGCCCCTCTGAGCCCAGGTTCAAGGCCTCCCTGGAGGAGATGATCAGGCTAGTCAGAGCTCATATGTGACTTTCCCGAGTGTCCCAGAGGAAGCCACTTTTACAGGGAGGGCCCCAGTACCACTCAACTCCCAGCCAACACCTTCCTGGTCCCAGGAGACAGTTGGAATTGGGGGTCTCTAATAAGAGAGCATCCCCAGGTCCGCACCACCCCTAGAGCAGAAGGCAAGAGGTGAGATTTCACCCCATAGATGGGCACATCTGGCCCCATGACCCTCCCCCATATAACAGCCCTTCCCAGAGAGACTCTGGGGACCCAGAGGCGCATGATCAGTGAAGTGACAGCGACAGAAAGAGTCAGAGACAGGAGGGGGAGGAAGGGGTGGAGAAGAGGAGAAAGCTTTATTCCCTGGTTCACAGAGAGCAGGCAGGGCCAGAGCCCTCCTGATTCATGCCCAAACAGCAGAGCTGAGTCCTGGGTGAGCCGGCTTCCCGGCCGCCCCTGGCTCTGCCCATAGGCCCTGGCCTGGAAACAGGGCTCCCAGAGGGAGGTAGGCTGAAACAAAGACAGTGGAGGTGATAGAGGCGGGCTGAGCTTCTGTGGCTCCACTCTCTCCACTCCGCAGGCCCAGAGACTGGAGCAGGAAGGCAGCAGGAAAGAAGGGGAGGCAGCCACCTGAGGGGATGAGGGTGGGGACTGGGGGATGCTTGGACACGTCATAGTGGTGTTGGCGCCCATCTCGCTCAGGGTGGCTTCTAGCTCCTGGAGCGTCTCCTCCAGACTGTCCATACGCAGTGGGGTAGCATCCTGTACTGGGTGGCCTGAGCCGACGGCCTGTTGTCCCCTACTGCAAGCTTGACTGTCACATTCAGAGTTTTGAGGGGTCTCCTCTGAGTGGGTCTCAGCAGGCTGAGTCTCATCTAGCGATGGTCCCCAAGGACAGAGAACTCCGGCTTCTGCATTGTCTGGGCTCCGTAGAATTGTCGGTTCCTTTCTGGACAGTGAGCTGCTCCAGAGTACCTCAGCAGCTAGTCCCAGCAAGGCCTGTGGGCCATGGCAAGCCTTTCTGCTGCTGACCAAGGTCCGGGGTCTTGGTGTGGGGACTGTCCTGGGGCCCAGTTCCTCTAAGCTGCTCTCTGGCAGAGAGGGAGAGCCGGAAGTGCATTCTGTCAAGATGATCTGAGGGATACAGAGAACCCTGGGACCTGAGGCAGCCTGGGGGGGGACAGGAGACGAGAAGGATTGTGATCCCTGCAGACTGAATTTTGAGCTGGGGTGCGCTCACTTCCTTCCTCTCCCAGATGGGGAAACTGAGTCGGGGAAAGATCTGATCATGTCACCCAATAAACTGAGCCTTGAGTGCAGGTGTCTTTCTATCCCGCATAGCCCGTGGACTCCTGCTTCCTGGTGTCAATGCCAGCTGCAGAAGCATGGGGGTGTGTGCCTTTCCCATCACCCCAGTAAACTTGGGAGCAAATCTCAGGCTTCGTCCCACACGCGATGGGATAGTGACATGGGTGTGCAGCAAATTAAATGAGTCCATGAGGACATCCTACTAGTGCCTGGCATCATTTGAGCAAATACAAGCTACTGGCTAAATTGACCCAAACAACCGAGACTTTCCTCAGCATGAGCAGAGAGTGGACGCTGGCCTCCACCTCAAGGTTCGGGCCATCTTCCTTATCTTGGGCTCTGCACTCACACCCATGAGGCCCATCCCCAGGGGAGGAGCTTGGCCATGGCCAGTTCCTTGGTCTCAGACACCGGGCAATGCTTCAGTTAGGCACCTGTTTCTGCGTGAGCTCCTTGGCTATGGTTCTGGACTAGACCCAGGGGCCTGAGGGACCCTGTGAACCTGAGTGAATTCTGCCCTAACTCTAAGTACCAGCCCATGTCAGGCACTATGGCCTATGTCTTCATCTTCAATGCTTTCTGTAACCCATGAAATGACTGTCACTCTCCCTGTCCCCGCTTCACAGGTCAGGAGCACTACGACTCACGCCTTGTCCAATCCTCGGCAAGTTAATGGTAGAGCCAGGATTTGAACTCAGATAGCCTAGGTTCAAGTTCAGTGTTCTTTTCACTAAACACGCTGTGAGGAGACCCCTCCTACCCCTCCCAAGACAACCCACCCAGCCCTGCCACTGCTTACCTGAAAATAGGGTGCACACAGGGAAGGCAGAGAGGGCCCCCCCGTTCATCAGGCTCCTCTGCCTGACGACGCCTCAGGATGCAGACAGACAGGCAGCCAGGGAAGGGGGCTTGCCTGCTGGGTCCCCTCATGACTGAGTCCCAGAACCAGAAGGGGACAGAGCTGGGTGCTGAGGATAAAACCAGTCAGGAAGTGGCCATCTCACACTGCTCACTCCCTGAGGACTCAAGGGACAGACTCCAGACAGCACTGTCCACCTTCTGATGCCTGTCTGCACCCCTGACAGAAAGTCAAAGGCCACCAGGCCTCAAGTCAAGCCCCAATGCTGGTGGCAGCCATCATGAACCCCATTGTGGGCTGGGAAAAATCACACAAGGAAGGGAAGGGTGTGGGCGCAGGAAGTTGAGGACAGAGGTCCTCTTACCCCAACTTGACTGGGCAGAGGGAGACCTCCCCAGACCTTTCTCCACCCTCCTACTGGAGCACAGTCCCTGGGGTGAAGACAGCAGCCCCACCCCCACAATCCCAAGAGGAAATAAGGTGCAGTGGGAAAGCAGCGAGGGCGGAAGTTTAGAAGGAGAACTGGAAGAGAAAACCAGCAGCCAAGGAAGGCCATGGGCTTCTCTCATCCTAAGTCCCCTGACCAAGGCGGCAAGAATGGCCATGGGGCAGGGAGAGGCTTAGGGAAGCCATCCCCCTCTCCATTCTGTCCTGACCCTCCCCGCCCCCGCTCCCACCCCAGTGCAAGGCATAGATTTCAGTGGGAGAAGCACGTGCCTTCCCTGGCATGGGCAGCAGAGCAGGGCATAAAGAAGGGACCAGGCGAGGTATCAGGACAAGGTCAGATCGAGTTGGACTCTAAGTCACTTCCTGAACAAGATCCAAATTCCAATCTTGGTCTCGGGACAACTCACAGGCTTTGGACCCAGCCTTAACTCAGGCTGTAAATGGGAACAAGGCATCTGAGAGCCAGAGAGAATCAGGTCTGCACAGACTTCAAGGGTCACACAGGACACCTAGGCTGCAGTATCCCAGGGAGACCCCCCTGGGAAGCCTCGGGGAGGGACAAGTTGTGCGGTTGCGCGCTGCCCTTGGCGTGTGCGGGAGCGTGAGTCCACGGGCGTGAAGCTGGGGCAGTGGCAGAGAGGCTGGTGTGCATGGCGTGTTAGCGGGTTAGCGTGAGAGGTGCGGGAAAAGGAAGCTGTGGAGGAACAGGCAGAGAGAGCCGTGAGAGGTGCAGGGAGGCCTGAGAGGCCTGTTACCTTCCATGGGGAGCTCAGAGCTGAGCCCCCAGGGGACCCCAGGTCCTGGGGGGACAGCAAGGTGGGGATCGGCTGGCGACGGGGCGTAGGGGGAAGGGAAGATACTGAACTTCTTTCAAAGACCTGGGGAGCAGAAGGCAGGGGCAGGTTTGGAGGATGGAACCCCAGTGAGGACCCAGGCGCTGGCTAAGTACCTAGGCACCTATGGAGGGTGGCCCAGGATGCCAAGGGCCCTGGTACCTCACCATGGCCACTGACCCACTGGGCCTCTACTCTCAGGCCTCCACAGGGCCCTGACAGTCAGGAACTCTGGCATGGGGCAAAGATTTCTGAGACCCCTATAAGCGGTGACTTGTAGTAATGCTAGGCCCTTTGGCACGAGGGTCTCCAAGATTCTGTGCCCAGAACACTAAGGCACGAAGGGTTTTGGAGCATGAGCTGTCCTCAAGATTGCTTGAGTAGGGTCTCAGTAAGCTCGGAATATCCAGGTCTGGGACAGAGTGTAGTGGGTCTTTGGGTCCTGGGGGGGGGGGGCAGGGAGAGGAATCTGAGAGAGTATAATGAAAACTCAGACCTACCAGGAGGAACTTTAGACTGTCTCCTTCCATTTCCCAGCGGAGAAGAAACGGAAGCTAAGCAGATTGGGTCCTAGGGCTGGCTGGCACTCTCCTGCCTGCCCAGGACCTGCTGCCCAGCCCTGAGGAAGGCTTGGCAAGGAACTGAGCCTGGCTGAGGCCTCGTTCAGTCACGCCTGACCCACCTCTAGCTCAGCGATGATGCGCTCCTCATCGTCCTCATCCTTGATGGCAGAGGCCATGATGGGTGGCGTGGAGGCAGGGCGGGCCACCTCAGACACGGCCCGGCGGAGCTTCACCTGGGGCTTCTGGACCTCCAGCTCCTCGGACTCAGCCTTCTGTAAAGCCCCCACATCTTATCAAGCCTAGGTCCTTCCCTCCCTCCAGCAGCGGCTCACCACACCCACCACCAACCACCAGTTTCCTGGCAGGAAGACCCACCCCGTCCCTGCCAGAGCTTGATGTGGGATTAGAACAACACACAGCCCTAGAATCCAAGCTAGATGTCAGGTTGGGTTGTTCTGCCTGACTGCCATCCTCTCAAGCTTCCCCTTAAGGTACCCCTGAACCCCACCAATTGGGGTGTACCTTGATGAAGGCTGAGTCTTTCTTGCTGGTGACCACTACCTCTCCGGTGCGTGTGGTGGTCAGGCCGTGGGAGGAAGGGAAACTCCGGCGGGGAGGGGGTGGCGGGGGCGACTTGGAGGGCTTCTCTGTGCGGTATCTGGGCACCGTGAGCTCATCTGCAAGCAGTGGGGACCTGGGGTCAGGGACCCGCCACAACAGTATGCACAGTCCTGTTCCTCCAGGAACGACCGAGAGGACAGCTCAGGGGAGAGGAAGGCAGGACCCCTCTCTTTCCACTTTCCTATGCCTGTCACCGGCTCACCCAGCCCCACCTCCCCCAATGGCACTCAGCTGCTCAGAGTTGTCAGGGAGCCAGGAACACTGTGGCACCTTGGCACTGAGTTGCTGACCCAGCATGGACATCCCGACATCACCAGAGGCCCAAGGCCACTCACTCAAGCCTGGGACTTTTGTGCCACTCTGAGCCGCCTCGTGGCCACAGCTGTCCCTCAGCCCTACCAGACTCAGCTTCATCCTTTCTCTGAGGAGTTTGGTCCCCGCTCACCATCCCCCTTCCTCCAGCCTGGTTTCCATGGCAACCCACTAAAAGGTCACTCAAACCATAACACCCTTGCCTTTCATTCTCCTGGGGCTCTCCACCAACCCAAATAGTCTGAGTTCTTAGCCCAGCACCTTCCACAAGCTCTCAGCCTTGCTCTGCATTAGGGCCCAGCTCTGGACCCTGCTCCAACCTGGCAGCATCCCCCCCTGCACTTGTCATTCTGCCCCCTGAAGGTGCGCTCACCGTGGGGGATGTGCCTGCTCAGTCCTAGGACTGGATGGTTCCAGGCCGGCTCAGGAACAGCACTTAGCCCCTTTGTGCTAGGGATGCATTAAATGTGGCCCGGGACAGATTACGTAACCATTTGGAGTCTGTCCTCTTTGTAAGGAGGGAATGACTGTGTCTGCCTTCTTCAACTGCTGCATCCAGAAGGCCTCGGGTAGTCAGTGCCCAACAAATGTCACAATCTGTCACACCATTAAATCCTAAGCACAGTCTGCAGAGATGGCTCAGAGGCTAAAGGTGCCTGCTGTACAAACCTGATGACCTGAATTTATCCCATGATCCCACAGTGGAAGAAAAACATTAATTCCCACAAGTGGTCCCCTGACATGTATGCACTTCACACACACACACACACACACATACACACACAAATAATAAGATAATTAAAAATCTTTTAAATAAAAAAAAATTCTGAGGCTGGAGAAATGAGTCAGTGATTAAGAGCACTGGCTGCTCTCCAAGACCAGGCTTGATTCCCAGCACCCACATTCCCAGCACCCACGTGATGGCTCAAAGCCATCTGAAACTCCCATTCTAGGGGATCCAACGCTCTCGGGCCTCCTCAGGCACCAGGCACACACGTGATGCCCAGATATACATACAGGCAAAATACCCATACACATAAAAACAGAAAAATAAATTCTGAGCTCTCTGAAGCACCTTTCCCAGTCAGGGTCCTGGAAGAAATGCATGAACCACCGATGACCGTGCCTCTCCTTCAGGTGCCCCACCACCATCCTGCAGGCGTGGGGTGTCAGGGCCCTGGCATACAGGTCAGCACTGCACTGTCCTCAGAGCGGGGAGAAAATTGGATGGACTCCAGCTCACCCTGTCCTTCTGTATCCCGGTCCCCCCAGTGATCACTAATGGCTAGCACCCCATTCTCTGGCAGCACAGCTACCATGACTCATTACCAGTGCATCCCCTACATGTCAAGCTCTGAGGATGGGCCTTACATCCCCATACCTGAACCTCTTCTCCCACTGGGCTCTGTCCGGGGGGCTGCCTTCTGACCATGGGGCGCCTTGGGGGGCTTGTGGTCTGGGGTGGGGGTGGGTCCTGGGTGGGCTTTGCTGGCACAGTCCAGGTCCGGGATGGCCTTGAGCAGCTCAGCCTGTGTCTCTTCCAGCAGCCGGTTGATGTCCTTGGCACTGTACTGGGTTAGGGCTGCCCGCTTCTCTTCCCAGTCTCTCTCCGCAGCCTTGAAAAAGGAAGCAGAGCTGGTGTCAGGGCTCCTGCCCATGACCCCCTGAGCTCTGCCCATCAGCTCTCCCCCAGGCCACATGAGCTAAGAACAAGAACTTCACGGAGATTTAGCCCCTCCTACTGGGTGTTAAACATTGTCCCTGTAGCTTAGAGAGATCACTTTTAATAAATACATTATTAGGTCTATTTCTGGACATTCTATTCTGTTTCATTGACTACCCAGTCTGTGTTTATACAAGCACAATATTGCTTTAATCATTATCACTTTATAGTATACTTCCTGTCGAGATGGGTAAATGTCACCAATATTATGCTTTTCAGACTCCTGGTCCTCCTCCTAAAGGGCCATGTGTCCCTTCAGTGCCTGCCATTCCAGGTGACAGCAAGAATGTGAGCCTAGTTTGTGCCCCGCCCTGGTCCATCACCTCAACAGACACTGCTTTGTCCGCGCTTCTCTTGCCGGGAGCATCCAGGCCTTTGGTGGGGTTACTGCTCTTTGGGGTAAGAGGGGCTCCTTCGGCAGGCCCACTCAGTTCATGGAGACTCAGCGGAGGGCTGGGGGGTGGTATTTCAAAGTCCAAGCCTTTGCTGAAGTCTGTTTCAGCTGCCACTTTCTTGGGAGACTGGTTCAGGAGATTGTTGGGGGGTGGCCACACACCCTCATCCACTTGCCTAGGGTTGGGAGAGTTAGAAGCAGCTAGTGAGAGATGGTAGCCCCTGGAGGGGAACCTGTAAGGGGGGCAAGCCTAGGAAGGTATGTGAGGAAAAGCCAGGCATTTGCATGCAGGGGTCACAGGTCAGAGTTGAAGAGATTTAACTGGTACAGAGTGACCTCTGAGGAGTCAGAATAAGGGCCAGGTGTTCCCATAGGTTTGGGCCTCGTGTGTAACCCCCTGGGAAGTTAAAGACAAAGGAGAGAATGACCTGCGGATCTGGGCCAGCGTGTCAGTGACCCCCCGGCAGCGCTTGAGAAGTCCATCAAGGCGCTGAGGTTCCTCCTTCAGGAACTTCACTGCCTCCACCTCTACACGCAGCACAACGCGCATCTTACTCTGCAGGCCTGGGAAATGAGCTGAGAGGGCAGGAGGAGTAAGCTGGCTGGGGAGGAGCACCCAGGAGTTGGCACACTGCGGGGGAGGACAGCAGGGAAGCCCTCGGGGTCACCTTTGCCAAGGCAGGCTCACCCTTGAGCTCTGTTAGCGTCTCCCCAAGCTGCTTCAGCACCAGCGCCTTCTCTTCCAGTTCAGGACCGGGTACCAGCCGGTGGTTATGGGTCACATCCCTCTGGATCTTCTCCACTGACTTCTCTAGGTCACTGCAGGCACAGAGAGACCCTTCTCAGCCCCTCTGGCCCCAGCCTAGCCCCCTGAAATTGAGCAGCTGGAAAGAAATTGTGCCACCAATCAGATCAAAATTAAAAGCTATAGCCAGGTGTAGTGGCTTACCCCTGCCATCCTAGAACGTGGAAGGCTGAGGTGGGAGGACTGTGGAAAGTTTGAGGCCAGCCTGGGCTACATAGTAAGACCTTGATGCAAACAAAACAAAGCATTAAAAAAAATCACAAAATCAAAGCCCCACTAGGCTACATGCCCAAGTGAAGTCGGCAACGCTAGCTCTCAATGATGAGACTTCCACACGGTTCTTTACGAGGTACCGCGGCCTCCGCACAAGCACTGATCTACAGTAACATCACCTCTCTCCCTAACTCTTCCACAGAAGCAGTGGAGAAGACGGTGGCCCCAGCAAACCTTACGTAGCCTCCAGGCAGAAGTACCCATCTGAGGACACAGTCATGAGCATCATCTTTTGCCAAATGACCCTGCCCCAGAGCCTTTCACCTCAAGGTCAAAACTGCTTCAGGTTTTCAGTCCGTTCGTCGGAAACATTTACGATCCCACATATTCCTAAAACGCAAACCAGGAGCTGAGCATAGCGGCACAAACGTGCCATCCCGGCATCTGGGAGGCCTCCCAGCTTTGGCGGCTGGGGACAGGATCACAAGTTTAAGGACAGCCTGGGTTCAATACAAACCAGCCAACCAAAATCCCAACCAAAGCAAACCAAGTCTTACAAGTCTTCACTCTGTGTGTAAGTTCTTATGTTCCTTTTTAAATTTTTATTTATTTATTTATTGGTTTTTCGAGACAAGGTTTCTGTGTGTATATCCCTGGCTGTCCTGAAACCAGCTCTGTAGAACAAGCTGGCCTCAAGCTCATAAAGATCTGCCTGCCTCTGTCTCCCAAGTGCTGGGATTAAAGGTGTGCGCCACCACTGCCCGGTTGTGTTAAGTTTTTAATATGTGGGTGGGAGGGAGGCCAAGGAGATGGCCCAGTGTGTAAGGTGCTTGCTTACGCAGGCATGAGGACCTGAGTTCAGATCCCCAGCACCCACCTAAAAGATGAGCACAAGAATGAACACCTTTAACCCCAGCCTTGGGTGAGGAGGGGGCAGAGACAGACCAGTTCTGGGGGCTCACTGGTCGGTTCCAGGGTCCGTGAGAGACCTTGCCTCCAAAGCTAAGGTGGAGAGGTGGAGAGATGCTCCAGCAGTTAGTGAGCAATTGTTGCTATTGCAGGGGACCTGGGTTCAGTTCCCAGCAGCCACATGGTGGTCCAGAAGCCTAACTCCAGTTGCAGGGGATCCAGTGCCCTCTTCTGACCTCCCTGAGCACCAGACATGGACACGGTGCACACATACATATACATACATTTATATATGCAAGCAAACATATGCACAAGATAAAATAGATATTTTTTTAAGTGGAAAGTGATAAAGAGGGGCTGGAGATATGGCTCAGTGGTTAAGAGCACTGACTGCTCTTCCAGAGGACCCGGGTTCAATTCCCAGCACCCACATGGCAGCTCACAACTGTCTGAAGATCCAGTTGAAGGGGATCTGACACCTTCACACCAATGCACATAAAATAAAGTTAAATAAAGCATAAAAATATTTAAAAAAAAAGAAAGTGATAAAGACACCTGACATCAACCTCACACCCAGTGTGCACCCACAGACACAAGTGTACCCACAGTCACACGTCTATACCACATCATCTATATATAATAGATAGATAGATACAAATGAAACCCATCATCCTGAGGCTAAACCCCAACCTTAGCTCTACAGTCATCAACATCTGAGTCTTGCCCCTTCGCTGCTTTCCCAGCAGAAGGCTCTGACACAATCACCTAATATCCCTGGGCTCTCTGGGCTTCAATCTTCTCACTCAAAAGAGGAGTATGAGGGCTGGAGAGATGGCTCAGCGGTTAAGAGCACTGCCTGCTCTTCCAAAGGTCCTGAGTTCAATTCCCAGCAACCACATGGTGGCTCACAACCATCTGTAATGAGGTCTGGTGCCCTCTTCTGGCCTGCAGGCATACACACAGACAGAATATTGTATACATAATAAATAAATATATATATATAAAAAAAGAGGAGTATGAGCCAGGAGGTAGTGGTGGCATACGCCTTTAACCCTAGCACTTGGGAGTCAGAAACAGGAGGATTTCTGTGAGTTTGAGGCCAGCCTGGTCTACAGAGTGAGTTCCAGGACAGTCAGGACTGTTTCACAGAGAAACCCATTCTTGAAAAAACAGAAAGGAAAAAGACAAAAGACAAAAAAAAGGAAAAGGACGCTGGGGCTGGTGAGTTTGCTCAGCAAGAAAGCACACTTGATGCCAAGGCTGAAGACCTGGCTTCCATCCCCAGGACCCATATGGTAGAGGAGTCAAACTATCCAACTGACTGGACACATGCTCTGGGGTCCTCACACATACACATCCAATAAATAAATAAAGGTAATTTTTGACAGGGTATCAAAAGTTCCAAGTTCCTGGCTGGCCTAGAACTCACCATGTAGACTCATGCGATCCTCCTGGATGGAAAGTACCACTAAACCCAGCTTAGAGAAAAAAAAATTAAAGAAGTGGGCATGCTAGGAGTGTCTCCTTTGGGGCTACTACGAGCACTGTAGGAGCCAATGGCCCCTGGATCTTGCTTCTCTCTCTGCATCACTACTTTCCCTGCTTGCTTCTGCTTAGATCATTCGGAATTTTTCCCAGTTCCTTATTGGCACTGCCCTCTCTGGCCCTTAGAATAAATACTCCCCAGCCTAGAGTATCCCATTTACCTGTACACACAAATTTCCATGCTAATTTCAGCTCAAGTCTCAAAAAGAAGTCCTTTCCCCGTCTCCCCGCTTAGGGTTCGGAGTCTTCTCCCAAACCCCTGAGGCTCCTCTTTGCTGGCTTGTGAACTTTCTGTGCCACCAGCCCAAAGCAGGCACAAAGTGACGTTTCCCAGTTTCATCTGCGTTCCCAGCACCCAGTCGGTGCCTGGTTTGGAGCACATACATGATCAATAACTGTGAAATCGGGGCTGGAGTTTTGAGCACAAAGTGCTTTTGTTTGGTTTTCAAGACAGGGTTTCTCTATGTAGCCTTGGAGCCTGTCCTGAAACTCTCTCCTTAGACCAGGCTGGTCTTGAACTCAGCCTTCCGAGTGCTGAGATTAAAGGTGAGCACCACCACCGCCTGGCAACACACAGTGCTCTTGCAGAGGACCTGAGTCGGATTTCTGGCATCCACCTCTGGCCTCTGTGAGAACCAGGATACATGTGCATATACCCACATGCAGACACAAATATTATACACAATTTTTTTAAAAATAACTTTTTAAAAAATTAAATATTTTTTAATTGCAGGATGAAGAAGTGAGAGGAAGAACTGCTACGGGTAGGTGCGCCTTCTCAGCCCCGGATGGGGGTCGGTGGCATCCCTCACCCACATGTAGGACTTTCTAGCTATTCCTGTCAAGTCCCACCTGTTGGATTTCAACAATGCAGGTGTAAACGACCTGAATCTGCTCTACCATCTGATGTGTCTGCTCTCGGTGGAAGTTCACTGTCATCAACCAAACTCATCAGCATGCCTCAGCCACCCTATCCAAAAGACAAAATGAGACCAGGGCAGAGCCCAGGGCAAAATCCCGAGATTCAGCTGGTCAGAGAACCACTTTGCATTGAGCACTGTCTGATGGAGGAGGGTCATCTTTCTATCTGTTGCTTTCATTGGCTAATTAATAAAGAAACTGGTTGGCCTTTAATAGGACAGAAAATTAGGTAGGCGGAGTAAACAAAACAGAATGCTGGGAGAAAGAAGCTGAGTCAGGCTGTTGCCATGATTCTCCCACTCCAGACAGACTCGGGTTAAGATCTTTTCTGGTAATCCACCTTGTGGTGTTACACAGATTATTAAAAATGGGTTAGATCAATACGTAAGAGCTAGCCAATAAGAGGCTGGAACTAATGGGCCAAGCAGTGTTTAAAAGAATACAGTTTCCGTGTAATTATTTCAAGTATAAAGCTAGCCGTGCGGGTAGCCAGGTGGTGGGATGCAGCCCCGGGCTGCTCATACAACAACTGTCTGTTCATCTGGTGCCACGTCAGCCCTGTATATTCATTTCCTCATTTTAACCTTAAAACAGGTCCCGGATGGAAGAATATTTCTTCCAGTTAGCACATGGGCAAACAGTGGTTCAAAGACTAAACTACATTTCCCAGCTTCTCTTGCAATTAGAAGAGGATATCCAACTGAGGCCTGTCCCTTGAAATAGGGATGGAAAGGCACATGCCGTCTCTAGATCTAGTCCATAAAGACCTTCTGTGCAAGCTCCCTCCACATCCTTTCCCCTTCCATTTGGTTATGAAGACCATGATCTGGGTGATTCTGGAAAGCACGTGCGGAACATGGCAGAAATGCCACCAGCCCGAATCCCTGACAGACTGCATATGGGAGGGCAACTTTCTAACCTACCTAGTGTTTTCTCAAAAAGATCTGTCCATCATTTTCTTTTAAAGAGATGTATTTATTGAGCTTTAGGTGTGTAAGTATTCTGCCTGGCGTATGTGTACTGTGTGAAGGCCTGGTGCCCACATAGGCCAGAAGCACACATCAGAACCTTCAGAACTGGAGTTACAGATGGCTGTGAGCCACCATGTGGGTGCTGGGAACTGAATATGGTCATTGTTGTTATTATTATTATTATTATTATTACAAGTGTTCTTAACCCCTGAGTCATCTCTCCAGCCCCCTTAAGCAGGTTTTTGAGATAGGATCCCAACGCATCCCAGGCTGGCTGAAAATAAGTAGCTGAGGATGACCTAGACCTCACAATGCTTTTGCCTCAACCTCCTGAGTACTAGGATTACAGGCTTACACTGCCACACCCAGTTTAGCGTCTTTTACTTTAGAACCATTGAATGATCTGGGAGCTTGTTGTGGCAGCTGCCTTAAATAAATAAGTAGCCCTAATTGAGGTTTGGCCTCCCAAATGCAGGGTGGCAGAAGCTCTGAAAGGAACTAGTTCAAGGTTACACAACTGTTCTATGGTATAGCACTGTCTACTCACGGGGGACTTCAGCCATTGGCTCTGATGAGTCTCTCTTCCAAACTGAATGATGTCACCTACCTACCTGCTGTCCCACCCCACCCACATCTACCACAAAACCAGCCCTTTCCCACAGCCAGCGATGGGTCAGCAGACAGACTTGGAAGCCAACAGGCTTCAGTGAATGGGGGCGATGTCCAGAGAGAGCCCAAGCCTCTGGCTAGACAGACAGGTAAGTGAGCCCAGCAGGAATGAAACCAAAACCCGGCTTCAGCTGCCCGTGGGACGCCAGAAAAAAGGAAGGAACAAAGGGAAATGAACATGAGAGAAAGACAGAGACAGAGACAGAGAGAGAGAGAGAGAGAGAGAGCACAGGCGAGTACAGAGGGGCTGTGGGCTACTGTGGGGCAGCTAGGACAGGAGGCAGGGGACGGTCTTGCAGGCCAGACCAGAACCATCACAGGACCCAGTCCCTGCCTCACTCAAAAGAGACAAGTGCCAGGCTGGAGAATCCTGCTGGCAGCTCCCGGGTTCTCTATAGTGAGCACTCTGAGTGATGGGTGTCACAGACATAGTGGGTGGGGGTTCTCAGTGCTCGCAGAGAACTGAGGCCCCCACGAAAGCAGGGACCATACACTCATGAGGAGCAGGGCATAAATCGGTCCTTTTATCTCTCTTGCCTCAGTGCTTTGATGGTTCCCTTAATTTCCCTTTAATGTCTCGGTCTAACTCCTTTTGAAAATCCTGGCCCAGCTCTTCTATGCAGAACGGGAAGAGACAAGGATGGGACAGGGAAGTGAGGAAACAGGATCCCTGGACAGCAGCTGGGCTGCTTGGAGAACTGGCCAGGGCGTCACTGTCACCTACCTGACATGATGGAGGGTTAGGGTTGCTGCTGATGGTTTATTTAGATGTGAGATGCCCCTTCCTGCATCTCAGATGCACGATGTCACAGCACTACCGGGCTCCTTGCCTTAAACATTGCTAAAATGCAGACCAGGCTTGCACGGGCCCTCAGACTGAGCTGTGACCTCCTCAGAGAACCCCTGGTGAGGGCTCCAAATATGACTTAGTAGGGTAGCACTGTCCAACAGCTCTCTTGGCACCCTGGAATCAAGCCCCTTAGTATGAAGCAAGCCCTTAACTGTTTTAGAAAGAACTGGGCGGGAGGGGGGGGATACAAAAAACAAAACAAAACAAAAAAACCCAAAACCTTAGTACTGATGAGGACGCTTAAGCAGAGAGAGGGTAGCAGCTACCTTGCCCCTTGATTCTGGAGTTGTCTCTGGATCCCCCTGCTGCCTCGTGTCACTAAAAGGGACCACAAGAAGGGGTGGGGCCTTTGCTTCAGCCCAAATATCTCAGGAGAAAAAGCTGCGGTGGACGGCGGCGCTGCTTCCTGAATGGACACAGGAAAAACAGCCGCATCTCCCATCACAGGTGCCAGACAAAGGAATTGTGGCCAGACAGCCATTTGCTAAATCTGGAGCAGACTGTCTCTGTTAACCCTTCTGTGTCTCAGCGCTCTGAGCGGGTTGTTCTCTGCTGTACCTCCTTTAAGAGTACCAGAGGCCGGCATCACTATGCTCAGAAGGGGAGCGGCCTTTCCTTGACTCTTGGTCTCAGGGATCAGCGTGGCAAAGGGTCAGCAACACCTCACCTGAGCCGCTGACATCACCCCTGACCTTCTTGCTCAACCCGAGGGTGAAGTTGCATAGGTCACAAGGAGAGCGGGCAGAGGACAGAAAGGAAACAGACAACTGGCTGCAGGCCACAGGAAGCAATAACATGGCAGAGGCAGGCACCAAGCCAGAAAAAAAAAAGAAATCAGGAATTATGCCAGATGGCCAAAGGTTTGTGGGTCATGGAGAAATCAGGCCACAGAGGAGGGTGAAATCAGACTTCAGAACAGCCAACGTCATCTATGTATGATTCCGAAGTAAAGGGGATGCGCCTCCCATGCAAATCAGGTTGGGTCACCCCGGCCGCCACCCCCCACCACCTCCGCGCGCAGGGGCCCAGCCTCACTTGAGCTGCTGAGTAATGAGCTCCTCGTCATTGAGGTAGCGCAACCGCTCCTCCTCCACCAGGGTGCGCTGCCGCTGCAGCGGGTCCTCCTGCCGCCGCGCCGCCTCCGACACACGCATGCTCAACTCCGCCTCGGTGCGCTTCAGCAACGCGCGTACTGATTCCTGGTTCTGGAGCTGCAGGAGCAAGGATGTCCGCGTGGGCAAGAATGCACGCGTGGACCGGGTCGGGGGAGGATGTATGTTGCTGAGGAAGGGTGGGCAGAGGGCAGCCCCGTGCAAGCAAAACTCCACAGAAGACTGGGTTGCTGGGTGAGCTGCTGCAAAGGCGTGGCAAAACAGACGCAGGGGTCAAGGACTGAGTTGGAGAGAACCTGTCCAGGAGATCCTGACCGAGGGTGATAGGGCTCATAGAGAGGGCAAAGTTATTATGGGTTTCGCCCAAGTTACAGCGGTGTGGCTGTGGCTGCGGCTGTGAGCAGCAGGGAAGGATGGGACAGCTGAGAACCTAGACCAAGATTACATTCTGGAGGGACAGGGGAACGAGATGAGAATTTGTGTGGCCAAGGGGTAACACTAGGTAGGGCCCTGACGTCAGTGTGACTGCATTTATGTCCTCAAGTAGCCCTGAGTGGAGACAGGACCTGGGGTGAAGGACTCAAACTCCGTGGTTGATAGGGTCTGCCACTGTGGCTAAGCCTACAAGATAAAGGTCCCAGTTCCGAGCCCAAATGACGTGGGTGGGCGAGATCTTACCCGTGGCCCAGATGGCAGCTCTCTGCCTCCCCCCTTCAGCCTGTCTCTGCTCATTAGCCTCACCTGACAAGCCCTGAGCCCCTCTTGAGGAGCCGGCACAGTGATGCCAGGCTCCTGACAGGTGGGACCATCTGCCAGGCAGGGCAGGACAGCCACTCCAGGTTCAGGAAGGGAGAGCTGAGGGGATTTGGGGAATATGGATGCGGGGCCTGAAGGAGCTGGGACAGCCTCAAGGGATGGTGAAGGGAGGAGGGGTGGCTAGGGCTCAGGGAGGTAGGAGACTGGGGGTCAATAAAGGGTCAGGGCTTGGTGAGAGGAGCAAGGTTTAATGATAGAAAGGGAAGAGGAGAAAGGGTCCGAAGAAAGACTACTGAACATGAAGGACTCCACTCCGCCAGAGTTGGATGGTGAGGAAAGGTGGGGCAGAGCTTGGGGAGAGGTAAGTGGGAGGGGGGGCCCGCGCTCGGTACCTGGAGCTTGCGCAACTGCTGAAGCTGGCCACGCAGGTCACTAGCGCTGTTCTGTAGGCCCCGCAAATGCAGCTGCATCTGCAGCCGGCTGACAGCAGTGGGCTGCCCTGCAGGGGTGCCGCTGGCCGAGGGTGGGGGAGGGCCGGACACTGGAGTGGCCCCGCTGCTCCGACTACCTGATCCGCACGCTGCCAAGAGGGACCAGAAGGATGAGTGATAAGGAAAGAGGAACAAACGGTGAGGGGAAGAAGCCATCCTCTCCACTCACACCCCACATCCAGCCAGAGAGACACACAGTTATGACCGTCTACCCTAAGGTGACAAGTCCTAGCAGGAGCCATGTGCCTGGGCAAAGATGATGACTCGTTTATCGGCAGAAAGCCCCATGATGTAGCTACTAGGAGAGCTGGCAGCCCAGCTTCAAGGTTAGGAAACTAATCCTAAAACTCTGAGAGGAAGAGAAGGGTCACTCACGCGCTGAAGGGGTGGCTGCTCCATTGGAGCCTTCAATCTTCTCACTGTGGCGGAAAGAAAAGAAAATGGTTGTGGGAGCTTGGGCTGGCCTCAGACCATCCAAGCTGAATGGGACCTTAAATGTCAGCCCAGCTCCTTGGCCTTAGGATAGAGCCACAGCGAAGGAAAGGGAGTCACTCGGAGCCACACAGTAGACACAGGTAGAGCTGAGTCCTGAGCTTCTGATTTAGCTCACGGTGGCGGGGCTCATCGCTGCCTCAAGCCCCGGTCCTGATAGTGGTATTGAGAGAGGGCCTCTCACCTTGGGGTCTCGGGCTCTGAGCCTCGCAGGAGGGCGCTCTGCACCAGCCCTGTGAGGCTAGCGATCTGCTTCTCCATGGCCTCCATGCGTTCCCTGGGGAGGAAGGTGGATTTGAGCAAGTGCTCCCGTGAGTTTGTGGTCCCTCCAGCTCACCCTACTCCCCAGTCTAAGATTAGCAGCCAAAGGACAAACAGCTCATCTTTCCTTAGCTGCCACACAGAACAGGGACCCAAGTCAAGGCTCAAACTCCTAGTTCTCCACTGCCTCTCTACCACTGCTCCCACAAGGCACTCTGATGCAGGAGGATTGCTGCGAGTTTTAGTAGCCTGGGCTACATAGCAAGACCCTGTCTCAAGAACACAAAACATAAACACAAAATGCCCAACTCCTCCCTATCCCGAGCCTGCTCCAGCGGATTTCAGCGGGGTCCTTGCTGGACAGCTCTCACTGCTGTTGGGGCACTAAAAGGGCTGAATCAGCACCTTCCTTTTACCTCCGAGTAAAATGGGGAATGAATACAAAGTCGGGTCTCTGTTCCAGTCATCACTTGAGGCTTCACCCAGCCATCCAGTGTCTTCCCTGCCACACTGAAGATACTCTGGCCCTCCCCTGTGACCTAAACCTGGAGAGAACCGGCCATCCTCTGCAGTGCCTCCTTCTTCTTTCTATGTCCCCTCACCTGGTCTCTGTGTCCTTGGCTGGCACCGGCGGCCCGAATCCTACTAGAGAGCGCTCCCCAGGTCCAGGGAAAAGCTCGGAAGGTGGTGCTCCGGCCGTTGAGGCGCTCCCAGTGCTGCGGGCCTTGCCTCCGGGACTCTCGGCAAAAACCGACGAGGAGCCTGAGTCTTTGCGGAAGGACTGGCGCACCGGCGAGCCACGGCTGGGCGGCCCCGAGTAGGGGCTGTGCGGGGGCGGGGGTCCCCCAGAGGGTGCCGACACGTCGGCCAGCTTCTGCGGGGACGAAGGCGGCAGGCGGAAGCCGTAACCATCGCCGTAGAGAGGGCCGCCAGCGCCTGCCTTATACAGCGAGTCCTCCAGGTCGGACTGCAGGGCGGCGGCAGAGTAGGTGCTGAGCGAGCGCACCGAGCCCCGCTTGTACAAGCCACCTGCGCCCGGGTATGCGAACGGGTCCCCCGCCGCGGCGGCCAGGCTCAGGCGGCCCTCGTGCAGAAGCCCGTAGGGATCTGCATAGAGGCCCTCGCCCTTCACCAGCACCATGCCGCCCGCTTTGCCTGCCAGGTCCTCGTCCGGCTTCACGTCGCGCCGCTCCAGGATGGCGCTGGGGCTGGGGCTCACGCCCTGGCTGGCCGGGGCACCTCCCAGTCGCTCAGCCGCGTGGTGCACCGGACTGCCGGCATAAGAGGGCGGGCGACCCCCAGCATAGGAGAGGCGTGAGCGCGAGGGCGAGCCCGACGGCAGGCCGGACGGCAGGCCCGACGGCAGGCCGGATGGGAGCCCTGGAGGTGGCGAGCTAGATGCTAGGTGCGATGCTGGCGACAGGTTGTTGAGGCGCCGCGTGGGCGACGACTCCCGCGACGCGTACACCATCTCTCTCTGCGCAGAAAACAGCCCAAAAAGCCCACGGAGCTGGTCACAAAGAGGCCTTCCTTCCCCTTGTTTGAGGAGCCAGCACCTCACCTCTCCCCCAACCAGGCTTAGAAAACCCCCTCTGTCCTGTCTCCTTCTGCATCCTGGGCCCCTCAGTACTCCCAGCATAGGGGAAAGTAAACAAGCAGATGGAAAGACATCAGAAAAGCAACCCTCAGCCCATCATTGATGGGGACCAGGAAGGAGAAGAGAAAGGGAAGTGGCCGAAAGGGACTTACAGTATCTAAAGGCCCTTTAGAAAAATCTTGAGTGGACTGTGGGGAAGGTAGCAGGTGAGTAGATGGCACTTCCATAACCTCACAACTCACCCTGCCTCAGCCTCTAAGTTCCCATCTCCTAAACCGGCCTAGTTCTGCCTAGATTCCACCTGTCCAATCTCACCAGTGCCCTGTGTCTCCCAGACATACCCGCAGGTCTCCGTTAGTGAGGTGTGAGCCAGGAAAAGCAGCATACAGTGGTTCCTTCCTGTAGATCTTAATAATACTGCGGTCCTGGATATCCCTGTCAGGGAGAGAGGCAGTGGGTCACCGTGTGCTCCCCCTAGCTGTGCACAATGAGGAGACCAGCAGCAGCTACTTCAGGCAGACAAGAGGTTCCTGACACCCAGCCCTCCCCCTTTCCTAAGCCCGGTGCTCAGTGACTCCTTGAGATGTCTGCCACCAGCAAGCAGGCATGAGTGTGCCCCCCCCCCCCACACACACACACGGGAGGGGAGTCCGCTTCCATAGCTTCCTGCCAGTGGGAATCCACAAATCTGAATGATTTAACAGAGAGGGCGGGGCACTAGGACTTGGTGGGGGGGGGGCAAAGGATAAAGAGAGGGTGCCTAATGATCTAAGGAAGGGCCACCAGAGGTCCAGCACTCTTCAGAGAAGTGGGGAAGTCTACCCAACCCCTGGGGCCGCGCCCACCGGACGTCCTCCAGCTCGTAGAAGATGTTCCGAGCTTCGTCTTTGATGAGGATGGCGGTGTTGGGCGACTTAAGCATGCCCATGGTGAGCTTCTGCGGGAACATGTGCGCGATGAGTGCGTGTAGCGTGTCCAGACTGCTGACCTCATGCGTGATGTGTACGCGTCGGGTCTCCTCCCCGAATTGCAGGAACAGGACTCCTGCGAAGGAGAGGCCGCCCTCACGGTCACTGCCTCTATCAGCCGGCTTCGCACCAGGGGAGTGCGGTGAGCCCTCGGGAGCGGCGTCAGTCCCACAGCGGCAAGGTCTGAGGCCGGAGGCTGCCCCCGAGTGCAAGTGCACCCATGCGCTCCTCATTCCGCCGGTTTGCGGCCCACCACACCAAAAACCCACCGGACCCCAGGCAGCTGGAGTCTGGACGTGGAAAGGGGGCTGGGGGAAGGAGCTGGTGGAGCAGAAACTGAAAGAAAGTCGGGAAAGAGTTGGAGAGGCTGGCGAGAACGCAGGGAGGGAAAAAAAAAGCCTAGTAGAAATAGAAAAGGGCTGGATAGAGAGGATGCTGACAGAACTTAAGGGCCAGCAGGGTATGCTAAGGTCAAGCAGAGAAGAAAGAGCTAGAACTTCGAGGAGGCGTCTGCTGCTAGAGGAGGGAGTGGCAGGAGATGGAGTAGCGAAGGGCGGGATAAGCCGGAGGGAGGAGCTGTGGCGGGACCTGAAGGCAAGCAGGCTGGGCAGTACCTGGTGAGCGCAGCTTGGTCTGGCTGGCAGAGCGGGAGAGAGGCAAGCTCTGTCGGAAGCGGTTCATCCTGCTGAAGCCCAGGGGCAGCTCGGCCTCGGACATGGTCTCCAGCGACTCAGCCGAGGCGTAGGACAGCTTGGCTGCCTGGTCTGCCAGCCCTGGCTGGGCTCCCTGAGTATGGCGCGAGCTGCGGGTCTGCAGGGGCGGGGCAGGGCGAGAGGCACCAAGCATGAGCCCCCACCCCCAACCCTTGCTCTGCCACAACCTCCATCTGGGCCACAGAGCTCCAGCCAGCCAGCAACACACACACATTCAGAGGTGGGTCTCCTGGGTTCTAGACTCGCTGGGCAGCTGCAGAAAGATCCCTCAACTCTCGAAGGTCTTGGCTTCCCTGGGACACCCGTAGGTAGGCAGTGGGCAAGCGACTCAGGCACCCTGGGATGCTATACAAGAAATCATCTGAGTTGGACCCATGGGCACGCCTGCTATTTTAAGCTTCCAATGAGCAACAACACGAATTTGTCACCGAGGTGAGCAGCAGAATTGTTGGGCAAATTGGAGCATTAGTTCCAGACGTTAATTAAACGGTGGGTGCGTGGGCGGTGGATTGTCTTCATGGAGTCCGGGAGGGGCTTGGGGGGGGCAGGGAGAAAGCAAAGAGATTGAGGGACCCCAGGCTTTCGGCACTGGGAGGTGTCCATGCCAGGATTCTTGACTTAGAGGATTTTGTCCCTGGGGAGTCTCCCAAAGCCTTGAGTCAACTGAACCATAATTTAAAGTAAACACACAGTATACATGCAAAGCCAGGTGTGACACACAAGTGTACTGTGTGGGCTCCGCCCCTCCCTGGGATACGAACACTGTCACAGCCTGGTTGGCCTCCCCTAGCCATGAGTATTACAGCCCTTTCCCTGTGGCTACAGCTGAGGTGAGGAAGGGTGTCACAGAGAATCCCTAGGTTCAAGTCCCAGTTCCCCTCCCCCGAGATAAAGGCCTAGGAGGTGGAATTCAGTGGGAAGGATGCCACGAGATGGGCCTGACTCCAATCTCCTGGAAGGTGGTGTCTCTCCTTATTTCAGTTGTCTTTCTAGAAATTACTTTTGGCTGTCACCCAGGGCCACAACCTCTGCCATTCAGCCCTAGTTCCCACACTAAACCCAGCTACTATATAGACGCTGGATGGTTTAAATCATTATTATTTTTCTGAGACAGACTCTCAGTACGTAGCCCTGGCTACCTAGAGCTGGTTAAGTAGACAAGGCCTGCTTGGGAGATCTCAGACTTCAGAGCCCAGGCTTCGATTCTAGGCTGGCCAACAGTGAGAGCCCCTCCCACCTTCGTCCCCAGAGAAACCACTGCAGCAGCAACCTATTCAGAAGTCAGGGAGTCTGAACCAAGCCGGTGGGCATGGGGTTGCCAGGCAACTGAAAGGTCAGTGGTTGCCAGACTGGGGTCGATGAGAAGCTTCAGAATGCAGCAGCTGGCAGAGATGAAGAATAGGAGTGGCCACTGGGTCAGAGTGGGGTCACAAATGAGATGTCTGGAAAAGGATGAAGTGGACAGCGCGGAGAGGACAGGACCCTGGGGATGACTGGCCACAAACATAGGAACTCTAGGGGAAAAAAGATAGCCACATCCCTTCCTCTGCCTGCTCCTGCCTCCACTCTAGCACCATGGGCACCTTTCCATTCTTTCTACCTTAAAGAAAACCCTAGGCCGGGCAGTGGTTGCACTCAGGAGGCAGAGGCAAGTGGATCTCTGTGAGTTCGAGGCCAGCCTGGTCTACAGAGTGAGTTCCAGGACAGCCAAGGCTGTTACACAGAGAAACTTGGGGGGAGGGATCTCTAAGAAGAAGAAAAGTCTATTAACACTTCTTTCTGCTCCCTGGACCAAAGCAGAGAAAATGAAACATCTAGAAGCCACTAGCAGGCATGTCCAATTTTTGACATGCTGTCTACCAAATTCACAGTTAGGAACTGAACAAAAGTTACAAAAAAAATCACAAATAAATCTTATGTTTTAAGTAAGCTCATGAGCTTGTGTTTGATCACACTGACAGTCACATATGAGCTGCTGGCCACAGTTTAGATGTTCTGACTAAGGGAGATGGCAAGAGAAGGAAACAGGAATTCAAAGAGAACTCGAATACAGGATGGGGCTGCCGAGGGAGGCAGTGAACTCAGCCATTGTGCCTATTCCACCAAGAAGCTAATGAAGCCTTGCCAGACAGGAGGCAGGGCGAGGACAGTCACACCGAGATCTTGGGGCTCCCAGCAGCTCTCCAAAGACTTGGGCAGGAGCACCTGGGAGCTTTCACCAAACTCTTTCCAGGATTCACAGTGGAAACCTGGGGCTTACGACAGCCTATGATAGCCCAAGGCGACTGTAGCATCCAGAGGCTGGAATCCGGTCAGCATCCACCACTCCAATGCTGATGAAGTCAGCTACCAGGGAAAACTTGCTAACTGGACAAACTGCCTCGGACATGCATTCTTCGCATCTCTCCAATCTTTCAGCAATCCCGAGTCAGCCCTGATGGTACATGCCTGTAATCCAGCACTTTAGGAGGCTGAGGCAAGAGAATCGCAAATTCAAGGCCTGCCTGAGCTACAGAGGTAGCCTGGACAACTTAGTGACACCCTGTCTCAAAATAAAAGGTTAAAAAAAGGGTTAGGGGCCGGGCGATGGTGACGCACGTCTTTAATCCCAGCACTCGGGAGGCAGAGGCAGGCGGATCTCTGTGAGTTCGAGACCAGCCTGGTTTACAAGAGCTAGTTCCAGGACAGGCTCCAAAACCACAGAGAAACCCTGTCTCGAAAAACCAAAAAAAAAAAAAAAAAAAAAAAAAAAAGGGTTAGGGTACTGGGTATGGCGGCGCACACCTTTAAATATAGCACTCAGGAGGCAGAGGCAGGTGGTGCTTTGTGAGTTTGAGGCCAACCTGGCCTACACAGCCTGTTCCAGGCCAGTCAGGGAGACTTGGTCTCAAAAGGAAGCAAGACAAACAAAAACAATACCCTCCAAAGAGTTGCATGCTCAAGGGCCTGGGTTTAATCCCCACTAGTAGAGTGGGGGAACCCCTCTATGATGAAGACAGTGTTGTTCACTCTCCAAAGGAGAAAGCACGGCCCAGAAGACTGTAAGTTCCTGCTGGGTCAGTAAGCTAACTAACAGCAAGCTAGAATCCACCACCAGGCCAGACCCTCAGGCCCATGCATTAACCCTCCCCTTTCTCCTGCCCCTGACAGGCAGATACAGGATCCCATAATACTGATTCAAAGGCTTTTAGAAAAAAAAAAAAGAAGAAGAAGTTTGCACACCGGCCACCTGGTGAATCTGATACCCTTTCCTAAGGTCTGAGGCTTCCAGGGACTGCAGATCCTACACAATAAACCACAGCAGAACTTCTCTCATCCAGCCCTGGGTATGGGGGTCAAGGAAGAAGGAGGGAGTGCCTGAGGGTGCTCCCCCAGGGGCACCATGGTATCCTGGGAGTGGGGAGAAAGCACTCTAGTTCTCTAAAATAAAATTGTTCAGAGGAGGTGAGAAGGCACCCATCCCCCAGGCCTTGCCCCTAAGATAAACAAAGTTAAGCGTATAGGGCAAGTGTGTTGCCTTGTCCTGACATGATGGGGAGTAAAAACAGGCAGGCATGAGGCCTTCCTTTGAGGGACAAGGTGAGTTTAGGGTCCAGGGCCCACAGGGAACGCATGCATTCGGGTCCCTGCCTCTGTCAGCTTACTAAGACTCGGGAACCCTTCTCCTCCTAAAACACCCCTAGCGGGCTGGGAGAGCTGAGAACTTGAGCATCTCCAGCCCAAACCTCCAGCAGAGATGGCAAAACTCCCACTCTGGATCCACAAGCCCCCGGCAGACAAACCCAGACTCTTCCCCCCAAGCAGCAGCCATAGCCGGCAGCCCCAGGCCCACCGCCCACAGAGGAGGGGGCCCCTGCAGATGCACACCCCAGAGCAAAGCATTGTGCAAGGCAGAGGTGGGGAGGGGAGGACAGGACATGCAGTTGTCACAGAAGCAGAAGCATCGCGCACTGACCTTGAAACTCCAGTAGTTTGGTTGCTGATGGGAATAAGAGAAGAGATGGTTACGAGGGGGCTGTCAGGGAAGTGGAACAGGACAGGACAAAGACTCTCAGTACACAATCCTGGGTCATGGGCCTCCACCCTCTGGGGAGCAGACAGTAGGCAATGCCTGTGCCTCTCAATTCTCTCACGAGGCTGGAACATTCTGGTTCACCAAGGAGGGGCAGGTTCCAGGTCTGCTGGCAGGGGAGCAGGATAGAACGTTCCCGATGTTTCAAGTGTCTTTCTAGCCATAGTAATCGACCTCGGAGAGAGCTGCAGGTAAGGGAAAGCGCTGATGGCTATGAGATGGTCAAAGATTTCAGGGACGGCAGTGACCAGTCTGGGCTGTGGGACCAGAGAGAGGCCAGGTCAAATGTCCCAGAAAAGATGGCATTCCAGCGTGGTCGGGAAAGTGAAGAGCTGGAGATGGGAGAAAGGTGTGCTGAGCAGACCTACACAGGCCTAAGTAGGTGCCCTGGAGCAGGCAGGAGGGCTGGGAAGACGCAGATGAAGCTAGAGACTGAGCAGTCTTCAATGGCATTACAGCTACAGATCAAAGTACAGGAAACCTAGGAATGAAATCGCGAAAAGGGAATGGGACCCCAGTAGGGCTAAAGGCAGAGAGGAGATGGTGGTGGCTGGGACCAAGGCCAGGGTAGGCAGGCCTGTGTGCCAGGATGTGCAAGGATTGTGGAGAAAAGTGGACCACTGCCAGGGGCCTCTGGCACTAGGCAGTGGATGGAAGCCTGGGCAGCACTTGGAGCTACAGAAACAGTGGAAAAGAATTGTAAGGGGGCCCCAAGGCTCCTCCTCACTCGCAGTAACCCTGGGTTGCCCTGCCCTCCCTAGAGACCAGAAGGTCCTTCCAGATGGTTACCAACAAGGAAAGGACAGCCCTGAGGGCGGGCTGGTTCTTGGCAAAGCTGAGGGTACCCTGCTGACCGGTGCCAGCCTCAGCAGGAGGACAGAGGCAGCAGATGGCCTGGTCCCAGGGTGCTTGGCACACGCAGACAAGATTCCCCAGGCCTCACAGCCAATGGCAGAGGAGAGGGACCTTGAGGGTTCCTGCTGGGAAGACACCATGCTGTGGTGCCCTGTGCCCCCTGGATGTGTTGGGGGCATAAGGGCTGAGTCGGGGCTAAGGACGGCTACTGCTGGGTACATATTTTATAGTGACAGCTCTTTGGGGGGGGGTGATGCCAGCCTGGATCTGGAATAAAGTTCATCGGCTGCCACCCTACACACATGCCTGGTCCACAATCCCGATCTCTCTCCCAAATTACTGCCTCCAAAAGATGAAAAGTAGCCACATTTCAGGCAAGGAAAGGGGATCACCAAGGCTGTATGGACACAGGGCACCCCTGAGGTGGCAAGGGATGGGGCATGGTTTAAAGACTTGAGCCACAGCTTCTGCGACCTTGGCTAGAACAGGAAGCATGGAGAGAGGACTCGTAGACGTCAGAGGCAGGCTGAGGACTCGGAAAGGTTTGTGCTGAAAGTCATGTCTGCAGACCAGCAATGACAGACGGCTCTGCAGAGAAAGCCTCACGCTTGGTACCCACCCCACAGTGGGGACTGAGCATCCACAGCTCCCTGTAACATGCACGTTGGTCCTGCAGTGAGCTGGTAGACTCAGACACATACTTGGGTAGACAAGGATGTCACAAACACACCCAGAACAACACACACGCCCACTAAGGTGCACAACATTAGGGGAAGCCATGAGAAATGGCCCCCAGGAACAAAGAGTAACTCGAAGACATCCACACGGAGACCATCCGATTCAGATCCATATGTTCTCCCAAGGACGCCAGCTAGCACCGTGCTCAGTCAAAGACATGAAGGGTGGTAAGACCAGTCACACCCCCCTCAGCACACCACAGAGCCACAGAGGCAAGGACACCCATTCACACAAATACACAAACACTAGCAACAGAAATATAGACAAAATAGTCCACAAGGGCCAGCAAGATGGCTCAGTGAGTGAAGGTGCTTGCTGCCAAGTCTGAAGATCTGAGTTTGATACCCGGAGTCCATGTGGTGGAATGAGAAAACCAACTCCCCCATGCTGTCCTCTGACTTCCAGACACACATGCCATAGTCAATGCATGTCCCCAACACACGCACACTAAATAAATGTAATTTTTAAAAATCAGAGCGATGTATGAAACACACAGAACTCAGAGAAAATGTTCTTTCTCTGCTCCCCTCTACCTGCTGGGTCAGGACATTTGTGGCACCTTTAGCCAGTTTCCAATAGCTAGGATGGCACTATCATTGTGTGTCGGGGAGTTTCCTGAACCAAGAGTGATAAAAGCTGTCCCATCCCTAATCCTGTCACCAATCTCAGCACAAGGAACTCAGGGTACCTGGTGCAGATGACTGAGACCCACTTGATGTTCCTAGGAGATGGATAGGCAAGACCTGGCTATACCCGCACTGGCCAGGCCCCACTGTGGGCTCCAAGCCTGTACAGACCCATCAGGCAGGACCTGAAAGGCTTGGGAGATAACAGGGTGGTGGTATCAGTGTCTGGGAAAATCATCCTAGCTCTGGGAAGGGCACGGATGGGAGAGAAGCTATGCTTGTGTTTGGGGGACGTGCAGGGGGACACTGTCATCTGGCCCTCTAACTTGCAGCTCTGAGTGTCATAGCCTTCTAAAGCAAGTCCTGCCTCCTTTCTTGGTCCTCTCTTCAAATGCAGAAAAGGGATCCTTTAAGCTGGCCCAGCAGGACCCAGGTACATGGTCTCCCAGCAACTCTCTGTCCTGGGAGGGGAAAATTGCAGTGGGAAGAAGCCCCTGGGGAGATGGGCCATCATCCACACTCGCTTCCAGGCATTAACCCATGGGACTGTCCCTGATGACAGAGTGCATAGGCTCCTCTGTTGTGCAAGAGGGACACCCGGTCCCTTCCCTGACCCCTTCCTAGTTGTAGATTCTTCAGCTGGTGTCCAACACGGTACCTGGTAGGGTAGCAATGCCCTCAACAAATCTGTAATGATGAATAACTGCCAATCAAACAAACCAAGCAAGGCCAGCAGGGAGCAGGTAGTCCTAAAGACTAGGCTTGGTCCCCCTCCCTCCAATCCTGGCCCTGGCTTGCTCTGAGCCTTTTTCCTGAGAATGACAGGGGTCTAAAAAAAACCCTGAAAGAGCATGGCGGTGCAGGCCTTTAATCCCAGCACAGAGGCAGGTGGATCTCTGGGAGTTAGAGGCCAGCCTAGTCTACCTGGAGAGCTTCAAGGCAGCCAGAGCTACATATTAATAGAGAGACCCTGCGTCAAAATAAATAAATAAATATTAAAAGGCAGGGACAGCAGGGACTCAGGGTCCCTTTTCTCTTCACTCAATAAAAACCTCACCAAAGCCAACACATCTCTAAGTACAGGGAGAACAGCTTTCCCAGAACTCAGTGAGCTGAGCAGGAGTGCTACTAGCAGGACCTGCTGCTGGTGGTGAGGGCTTGCGGGAGCTGGGGCAAAAACAGAAGTCAACCATCCCTCAGGACCAAGCTTTCAGTGATGGGGTACTTCCCCCAGGGAGCCCAGAAGTGGAGGAAACAGCTTTTTCCCTCTAGAGCTGAGGAGTTAACCCGGCACTCTTCACCTCTCCAGTACTTAGTCTTGGTTTCTTCCCCTAGTGGGCCCTCCTCCTCCTCCCACTCCAGCCAACCCTGGAGGGGCGAGAGATCCCATTGGGACCTTACCTCAGTTTCTTTCCCTTCCCCTGGGCAGGCGTCCCGCATGACTCCTCCTTGACCTCAGGCCCCAAGGGAGCATCTTCCAGAGGGGAAGGCAACCCAAGACTCGCACACCCTTCCTTAATCCCCAGACTGGCGCACACACCCACCTCCCAACTCCTGTGAACCCAAGTCCACGGAGACGCCAGCTCCCAGCCTAGGGCTACGCCACCGGCCACGGTGGCTGCCAGCCTGCAACCGCCAAGCCGCACACGGCCCTCCCCTAGGGGTTTGCAGCGACACCAGCGGCTCAGAGCCCTGCGGAGGCTGAGTGCGCGAGGAGGGGGTGCGTTGCGAGAGCCGCACGGCGCCCTGGGACGGGGCGCACCCGGGGAAGGTCATGACTTTCCGCGATTGGGGGAGGGGGCGCCTGCCGCATTTGGGGGCGGGGGGCCGACCCACGTGGAAGGCACCTGCTGCGGTGGGGAAAGGGAGGGGGCGTCTCTCCGAGATCGGGAACCCACTGCAGTCGCACGCCCCGCACCCCTAGACCAGTTCTCCAAATCGTGGATCGGGACTCGATCTCAAGGTCCCCGCCCCCTCTCCCACCGAACCCCACGCGGCTACTGAGTCCCCACCGCCTCTCACCCTTACCTGCGGCTACAGGTGCACGCGTGGAGCCTGGTCCCGCGTCGGGCGGGGGAGGGAGAACCGCCCGCTACTCCCACCCGCGCAGGCTCTCCCCTCCCCCGGCCGCCTCTGCAGCCGCCGCCGGTGCCCTTTGCTGCAGTGGGAGAGCTGCAGCCACCGAGCGGGCCCGGGCCCCGGTCGCCCCGGTAACCGCGACTCCACCTGGCGCCGCGCGTTGCGCTGCCGTGCGCATTCCCCTCTCGGCCCCCTCCCGCGGCGCGGCCCCGCCGGCGCAGCCACGCCGAAGAGAAGAGGCTGGTGGCTACGTCGCCGCGGTCACCCGATACGCCGGCCCGCCGCCCGGGACTCGGGTTGCAGCAGGAGGGAGGGAGGTTAGACAGCCTAGTGGAAGAGCGGGAGGGGGGAGGGGAGGGGCTGTGGTTTGGTCTAACCTTTGGTCCCTTCCCAGGATCCCCTTCACTGTACCCATCCCCAAAGGTCTTAGTTACCCCCACCTTCCGGGCCCTTAGCCTCCTCTCTGCCGCCCTTTTGCCCCTTTAATCCTTCCATGACTTAATCCCCCGACTGAATCGGGGAGGCCTAAGATGCCTATGCTTCCTTGTTGACCTCTGATCCTGCCTTGCTGTGTGTGATTCTGGTCCTTTGCTGGGTGTCTCTGTGCTTTACAAAAAAATGAAGCTCAGACTTCTCCCTGGTGGGGAGGAATGTGATGAGCTCTATCCAAAGATGACAAGACGCTGTGCGTATTGTGGAGCTCTAAGACGAAGGTCCCCTACAAACTCTCCTTTCTTCCCTCGGAGCAGAATTCCAGACAGGCAGACAGACCTGAACTTCACCACGGGGCACAACTCAGCCCACTCTAATCCAGCCTCGTTCCTGCCGTCTACCTTATCCCTATCCCACACTCGACCTAAGGGACCTGAGGCACCAAGGACCTGCCTGTCCATCCTGTGCCTGTCTGCAGTCCATCACCATGATTGTCCCAACCCTCTGTCTGTGGTCTCCCCCACACACTGCCACTCGGCACACCTCTCTATCATCTGTCATCATCCAACCTTGATAACAGGCTCACCCCCTGCTCCCTTGTTCCCCAAATCCAGACAAAATGAGGCTTAGAGCTGGGAAGGAAGTGGCTCCATACCCTGAGAATGATGCCCAGTGTGCTGAGCTGTTACTAAACACGTTCCTTCAGTCCAGGTGCCCCAGCTCTAGATTCTCATGACATCCTTGTCTGTCACAATACCCTTTCATTTCATCTTCCTTGGAAAAGCCAAGCTTTGGCCCACTCTGGTGCATGAAGAACCAGACCTCTTCCATCCAACGACCTGGCAGCTCCTGCCCTCCTCCTACCTACACCATAACCAGCAAGTCCAAAATCCCTGGCTCCAGGTACGGCGTGGACTCCTGATCCCTGCCCCCACGTCTGTTATTTCTCCCCTGGCAATGCCCAGGCCTGAGCTGGGAGCATATGCTAAAATCTATCCTCCTATCAGGGAAAATGAGGCTCGGTGAGGAATGGGGAAACAGGCTCAGAAGCAATGGCTAGACCCCTAGTTCTTTTTAAAAATTATATGAAGGGTGAGAGAAAGACACCACACAGAACTTCCTGGTGGTCAGAAGGGGGGGGGGGGGGGACAGGCTCTACTCGGAACAGAAGAGTCGGGCACAGAAAGGGCAATAAGATGAGAATAATAAGAGGTTCCTAAAAGCCCAAGAACAAGAGTAGGTCCTCTTGTTTAAAGGAGAGAAACAACAGTTTGTTTGTTTTTAAAGCATAACTATCCCTCAAAAGGGATAGGTTTGAGGAGGCGATGGTAAGAAATCAGTCAGGGGAGATGTGGATACGGGGTATGGAAGTTTCCTGATAATGGAGGGTTCATACATAGAAGGGGTGCGAAATAAAAATTATCAATGTCCCCCCCTACAAAAAAAGGGTCTCCCCAAAGCCAAGCTCCGCCATGGATTTTGGAGGGAGATGGCTGGCTCACCTGGGCAGGCTGGCCAGCCCCGGAGGGGGTGGAATCGCCGTGGAGGTGGGAACAGAGGGAGCTGAGGAGGCACACAGGGTCCACGGTCCAGCCGCCGACCTGTGTGTGTGAAGCAAGGGGACACCCCATTAGGGGGAGCGGGCAGGAGCCGCTGAGGTGGGACAGTATGGGATGGATGCTCCCAGGGCAAGCCCTGGCACAGGGAAGAGGGCCAGAGTCATGGAGGTGGGCTCTTCACAGCAGCTGGTACTCTATCAAGGGCCCCAAGTTTATCTGCATGTCTGTCTATCTTTCCTCTGACAGAACAGGCTTTCAACACTTGATAGAATCCTGATTTCCAATTCCCAAAGCCTCCCTGCACAATCCTCTCCTTCCCAAGGAGGTCACCTCGGACCTCACAATGATGGGATCAGTGGGCAGGAGTGACCTCACTCCTGTTGTCTATGCCATCTCTGGACCCCAGGCCACCAGACTTGACTCCTCTGAGACTGTTTCCTCCTGCCTCTGGTCCTCTGGCCCCTGACACTTCTCTCCAAATGTTCGCCCAGCTCCACACCATTGCTGTACCATGCTATGGTACTTTGTTCAATTGAAAGGGCCTTGGGTCCTGACACTGAGCCTCTAAGGGGGCAGATGAGGGCAGGACAGATGAAAGGCATGAACCTGAACATGACTGAGCTTCCATTCACTCCAGAAGTATTTGCTAATTACTTGCTGAGTGTTCACCAGGCTCCACCTACCAATGCACATGAATGTTCCATGCCAGACTCGGTACCTCTTGAAGCTTTTCCTGCTACACCTCCCAGAAAGGTGTGTAACTAGGGTGCCCAGTTCCTCACCATGCCTGGGCTCCAAACCATTGAAAATGGACGCTATTTCTTCTTACCTCTGCCCAGACCCACCAAGACTTCTGAAGCATTGGCACCGTTTGTCCCACAGCCCATCTCTGACCATCGTATACTGCTTTAATGCCCTTTCATGCCCCACTCCCATTTCTGTCTCCGTCTTGACTGCTCTCAGGTCTCCTGAAGCCGGTGCTTTGGAGTACAGAAATGTATGTAAGGGATCCAGCTGGCATCCTAGGAAGCTCCCTCCCAACTTCCCACCCCACCCCTATGATTCTCATTCATTTCTGTTTCTTTCCCAGAGACTGACATCTATTTCCCTGTCAGTCAAGAATTCAATTTCAGTTTTTTGAGACAGGGTTTCATGTAGCCCAGGTTGGTAGCTGAGGATGGCCTTGAACTTGATTATCTTGCCTCCCCATCTAGAATGATGGGATTACAGGCGCGCAGCAACCAAGACAGACAGTTTGTGCAGTGCTAGGAATCAAACCCACAGCCTCCTGCTACCAGGCTGGCCCTTAGCTGTGTCCTTTTCTGTCATTCCCTTATGGCTCCAGACAACCAACAACCCTTACCTAGTCCCCCCTGCCCCTCTGTCCAAACTCCCCTTTCCTTCACTTCCTCCTTCCCCTGCTCAAGCCTCCCGACCCCCAGAGTCAAGAACTGTACATAACAAATATAACTCTCCTGTAATCTGCTGGCCCACCCCACTCTGGTACCACATGTCCCCCTGAACCCACCCCTAGTCTTCTGTACCACCCAGAAGGACTTGCCATGCTCCAAATCGACTCAGGTTCATGTGCTTCTCCAGCACCCTGCAGATACAGCATTCTCTACCTCTCTTCAAACCCTTAGCTTTGCTAGGCTTCACACAGGTGCCGCCTCCATAAGGCCTTGAAACTGACATCCCTCATCCTAAGCCCCCTCCCAACTGACCAGGACCCTCACACAATGTTTTATCTTCTCTTTCCCCCAGCTAAGGGGGTCAGGGCCCTACATGAGTCTAAAACCCCTCCTGATCCTCACCAACCTGAATCCTGCTCCCAGGGGGACTCTGGAGTCTAGAAAATGCAAAAGCCAGACTGAACTAGACAGAATGTCTGGGGGACAAGCAAGGTCCCCAAAACATGACAGTGTGCCCTTGATCTCTGCGATAAGGGGGCATGTCCCTCCTCTGATCCCTAGTCACACTGAGTAGCACCTGAAAAAGGAACTGTGGCCCAACAGTCCTCAGTGTGACTGAAGGACACTGGTGAGTGGACCCCTGTGCACCTTCTCCCAGAGGGGACAATGCTGAGATTCCCAGAGATGGGACACAGCAGCCATAATGGCCCCCTTGTCAATGCAGGCCTAGACATAGAACGCTAGTCCTGAGAGAAGGAATTCAGAGCGAAGCTAGTGCTTGGGTGGAGAGGGACATGAAGGAGTCCAGGCTGGGGAAGGCTGAGAGAAGCCACCCGTGCAGGTCCTGGGCCAGAGGCAGAGGCCCAGCCTCTCCCTAAGCCTTTGGGGGTGCAGGAGAGAGCCAAGGCACACACAGGCTTCCGGCTCAGTCACACGGCCAGTCTGTGTTCTCAAAGGAAGTAATGTCCCCAGTTCTGAGTTCTGTTCAGGCTAGGACTGGGGAGGGGTTAGACCCAGCCTTCAGAAGCCCCCAAGCCTGAGAGAGGTGTCATGGCCAAGCATTTCAACTGTCCCATGGGTCCAGGCCCAGTGCCCTCAGCACCAAAAGTGTCCCTTCTCTTCTTCAGAATCATCCCTTTGGCCTCCAAGACACACACCTTCCAGCCCTTCTTCCCACATTCTGCCTAAACCCATTCTCCAACGTGTCAAGCCGATGGCAGGGACCTGGAGACTAAGCCCCACTTCTTTCTCCCCCAGACTCCAGGAAAGACCAAAGAGAACCACGGCCCAGGGAACAATACTCCCCAACTCCAGGCTGACAGCTCTGCCCAGCCATAAAATACTGGGTGATCACCTAGAGATCCCAGCCCCTGCTCACACTCACCTGCTCCCGCATCCTGTCCTGCTGACCTCGCAGGGCCAGGGCATGCTGGGGGTACTTGCTCTTCAGATGGTCCATGAACGCATCTCGCTTGCGGTCAGCATCCGCCTTCTGGAGCCCGCTGAGCGCCTCCAGGCTCTGGGCAGCAATCACGGTGTGCCTCCGCTCGGAGGTGTGCACCAGCCCCACATTGGAGAAGCGCCGGCCCCCGCTGCCTCCGCTGCCCCCACCCCCCAGGGTCCGGTATTCCCGAGGGTACTCGGCATCGTCGGCAGACAGCATGGGGGGGCTGCTCCGCTCCGGATCTGCGAGAGGGGGAGAGGATCTAAGGTCACCAGAATGCCATGCCGAGGGGTCTGCCCATCTCAACAGGGATCCCTGTGGGGCAGGGCAGGGCCTGACGAGGGCAGAGGGACCTTTGGGAGAGGAAAGGGGGCAGAGAGTATACGAGGTGAACCTAGAATTCCAAGTTAGGGGTGAGGAGCAGGTCCTGGATGCAGGTTGCTCGTTGGTGGGCTTTGGAGCAGGCAGGGGAAGTTGATGGACGTGGGGACAGGGAGAAGGGAGAGGTATTGGAGGTGTCCTGATCACTTCTTTAACTACATACTCGGTCCCTTTCCTAAAGACAGGGAAATGAGCCATACTGTGGTCTAGAACACTCTCTAAGGAGAGGCTGGGGCTATGAGTGCCTTCCTCAGACCTGCACATCAGGGCTGTATCCTCCGGCTGGGGCTATCTAGGACAGTGACCAAGGAATTAGGAGGGTGGGGTGAGGGCAAAGGTCAGTCACAGGGCTCCTTCCCAAGGATGGATAGAGGCCCAGAATCTGGGGCAGAGAGACTCCCTTTCCCTCCCTCCCTCCCTACACAGAGACAGACAGATGGACAGACAGTAAAAGCTGAGCACAGAGAAGACAGAGATGGACTAGGACAAACTTAAGAAAAAGCAGGCAGACAAAACAGGTCAGCTCTCCGCTCCCCTCTCTGATCCAAGCTCTCCTCCCAACATTTATGCAAGCTCTAGACCCAGAAGTGATGCACAGGGAACAACGGACAAACAGAAGTGGGCGGGGGAGGCCGGGGGAGGCCGGGGGTTGAGGTCTTCACACTCTTAACCCCCTCCCAAGTTCCCTCAGCCTCCTTTTCCTCCCTGGCACTGCTTCCCCCCTCCCTTACCCCCAAGGAAAGCAGGCCCTGCTGGGTATCCACATCAGTCATGTTCCAGACAAGGAATACAGAGTTGCCTGCCTGCCATGTCCCCCAGAAGTTACCCCATTGAGAGCCAGCAGTCTCCATACCTCCCACCCAAGCCTTCCAGTCCATGGAGTGGCAACCCCTAAGCATGACCTCAGCAGGACTGGAGCGTCAGGCCCCACCAGCTAGGCTTGCACTCACGTGAGCAACTGTCCCACTACCGAGAACTTCTGGAAGAACAGACTGGGGGAAAAAGAAGATAAGGGGCCGGGCGGTGGTGGCGCACACCTTTAATCCCAGCATTCAGGAGGCAGAGGCAGGCGGATCTCTGTGAGTTCGAGGCCAGCCTGGTCTACAAGAGGTAGTTGCAGGACAGGCACCAAAGCTACAGAGAAACCCTGTCTTGAAAAACTAAAAATAATAAAAAAAGATAAGGTTAAGGTTGGGGATCCTGGGGCTCAACCAGGTTCACGAAAGCCACCTTCCTTCCACACAATGTTAATCAGACCTGCTGCCGGGCCACACCAGGTACCTGACATCCAACCACAGGAGGAAAGGAGAGGCTGAGCCACATTTCAAGACTAGCTAGCTCAGTGCCAATACACATATGCACACACACACACAGAACCTCCCACCACCACCAACATATGGACACTCCACCCACCAACACACACACAGAAGGGGTTGGAGGAGCCACCCTAACACATATAACACACTCTTCCAGGCTGAGGCCCTGGCATGTGCAACATAGCTCCAGACAACCCAGCCTCTCTCACTCAACCACAAGGACAACACCTCCCATAGGCACTTAAGTCATCGGCTTAGAAGGACGCCCACCATTGCCATGGCTCTCGACACTCCTGTCTGGTAGGTATTATTGTGGTCCCCATTTCAGAGAGACCCAATGACAAGTCTAAAGCTACAGGGAGTAGTAGAGGCCTGGTGTGACCCCAATGTGACTAGGTTTGCACTGCCACACCTCCCCGGACAGATGATATTGTGTACTGAGCAGAGAACACTGATCACACAACACATTTGTCTTGATGGTCTGGTCCCATCCCCCACAAAGCTCAGGGTCTGAGTCACCACCTCCGACCTCCCAGGCACCCTTTAGTCATCACAGTTACTATCCTTTGTGAGGCTCCCCAAGTGAGGTCCAAACACACAGAGATGACTTTGAAGACATTACACCTATATCAATCTATATACGTGTGTCTGTATGTATATATTAATTTGGGGGGGCAGCCCATATATGGTGGTTCTGTTGAACTTGTCCATATTGAGTTTCATGGTCTAAGTTGATGAGGAGGACTGATCAGGTCTCTTCCTCAAGAGGGCACCAGATCTCATTACAGATGGTTGTGAGCCACCATGTGGTTGCTGGGAATTGAACTCAGGACCTTTGGAAGAGCAGGCAGTGCTCTTAACCACCGAGCCATCTCTCCAGCCCCACATATGACACATAGCTGATTTACTTAACTATTTTGTGTCTTGATATATAACTCAGGCTGGTCTCAATCTATGATCTTCCTGCCTCAACTGGAGCTGAGTGTTTTATACTTTATTGATTATACTTTTATTTTCATAAGAATTAGAAAAAAATTTGAGGGAGGGGGCCAAATCGCTGGTTTTATAGCTCTTGTTCCTGGGGTGGTAATGAGATAAGCTTCCTCTTAAGTGTATACAGTCAAATTCAAAGTGAAGCTGTGTTCACAGAAGCAATATTAAATTGATACAAGGCAAACAGCTCCCTGATAACAGAAGAAACTGGAAAAGAAGTCTGCTGACTGAGTAAGGCTAAGCATACAGAGGCCGTCTTCCTGACAGCGTCGGACCCTGTGGCGAGCCAGGGTGACCAGTGAGTGAGGCCAGGCAGGATGGCCTGGGGAATAAGGGGAAGCAGGCTAAGCACTCTGTAAGTGTAGACCCCCACCTCCCTCCTTCCTTCACTCACCCTTACTGACACCTAGAAGGCCACACCCTACTGAGGACAGGAGGGGAGACCTCCACAGCTAGGGCACTGGGCACTTCGGAGTCCTCCGTCTGTCCATGTGTGTTTTGCCTGGCCTTGTTGCAAGCCCTAACTCTGGACCCAGACCACCTCTTCTCCTGCCCCCTCTGCCCCAGAGGGCTCTGGACACACATGGACTTCACTCTGTCTCCAGAAGCTCTCCCCCCACCCCTGCTCCCCACACCAGCCCTCCTTCCTCACTGCTGGGAAGGCTTCAGCATTTCTGGTATGGGGGAGACAGTGCACTAGCCCAAGGCAGATGATGACCATGGGGAACACCAGGAGCTACCCAATTCTCCCAGGATGGTGATGGCAGGAAGGAGGAAGGGCTGGGATCTGAAAGGCTGTGGGATCTGTTTAAGGACTTCAGAGGCTTTGCTCAGAGAGTGAAGTAACCCAATACCTGATGTCCGACTGGGTATATAAGGAACGTCTTTTTACAGGGCTTGGTGGAGCAGGGAGGGCCAACCTGGACTGAAGAGGGAGCCAGTTCAGGAATGATCAAAGGAGAATCATTTATATTCATTCATCCTTTTTCTCTATGTCTATTCCCCTCCCCCACCCCAACAGAGTTCCATATAACCGAAGCTGGTCTCAAACTCCCTATGTAGCCAAGGGTAGCCTCGATCCTCTCTTCTTGCTTCTGAGTGCTGGAATTACAGGAATGAGCCACCATGCCTGATTTAAGCGGAGCTGGAGATCAAGACCAGGACTTCATGCATGCTAGGCAATCACTCTACCAACTAAGCTGCATCCCAGCACCTCGATCTTTTAGAGCCAAGGCACCGGAAGTTAGACTGTAGCCAAGCCACCTTCCCTTGGGCTGAATCAGCTTCTCCCCCAGTCATTCATACATTCAGCCAAGCAGGCCCTCCCCTGATGAGTCAGGGGTCTAACTTGTAAACCGGGGGTGTTGCCCTCAAAACCCTGCCCCACAGGGGAGAAAGTGACAACGTTGGAGAAAGCGTATCATTTCCAGTGGGAGACATTCCTGGAGGGGGATTACTGTTCTCCCCATTCTCTCTGAGCCAATCCCAGCCACCAGCACAGCCTCCAAGCTGCCCTGACTCTCTCTCCGGAGTGCACAGTTTAAGGGAAAAAGCCAGGGTGATCGCTGAGTCCAGTACACTGGCATCAGGCTCCAGGCCCAGTGACCAAATCAATGCTACTCAGGGATCTGGCTGCGGTTAGGTGGTTAGGCGGGGAAGAATACGGGGATGGAGGAGACAGCAGCAGAGGCCTGGAATTCAGCAAGTGGGGGAGGGAGGTTGGGCATGCTGGGGGAGGGGTGTGGCACTAGAAAAGCCAGAGAGCCAAAGGAGGGGTACAGGGTCTCCCTTCTTTCTGAGGCACCTATATGTAAAAGGCCAACTATGATTTTTTTTTCCTTCCCCTTTTGGCTTTTTTTGAGACACAGTCTCCACATTTATCCTGAAATTCACTGTGTAGCCCAGGCCTCAAATTCAAAGTCTTGCCTCTGCCACCTGCACAAGTACTGGATTACAGGCATGCAAAGACACGCCGAGCTCTAAGATTCTTTTTTTTTAATATTTATTTATTTATTATGTTCTAATGGGAAAGTCGAGGCAACTGGGTAGATGCCAGGGAGTTACAAAATGGAGCATCAGGACGGGAGACGTAGAAAAGGGCTCTGTCACCTCACTCAGCTCAGCCTGGGCAAAGGGAAGGGGAAGGTGGTCCCGCTGGGGAGATGGGAAGCAGTGGGCGCCCCCCAGTGGCCGGCTGTGATAGAGAGCAGGTGCTTCATAGAAACATTGTTACTTGTTCAGCAGCTTCCAGACCCTTCCCCCCAGCTTATTTATGGGCCTGATTTATTTTTACCCTCCACTGAATTCTTTCTCATGAGATCACTGTAGCTCATCAGAAGACTGAAGATCCCAGCATCTCAATGACATCCTCTCATAAGTCATCACTCTCGGCCCCACCTGGCTTCTTTACCCTGGATGTCACCATCTACTCTGTCCCCTGCCTGTCGCTGGGCAGCGCTGGAACATGACATCATCTTCAGAAGAGATGGGGAGGGAGAAAACGGAGGGGAGATCAGAGCTGCTGTGACAGAAAAGTGACAGGAAAGGGCTCT